AGAAGATGCTGTGTAATTTTTGATATAATAAATCACATGCCGAGTCGATGTCAGTACATTCAGAAACGTCACACCATTCGGTTGTTCTGATCAGTTCATGCATAGCTGGAAAGTTTGCTTTGCGAAAATTAAATTGTTTAATAGCGTCTGTTGTATTAATAGCAAAGTCATTGATATGAGAAGTACGACAGTTCAATGAAATAGAAAGTGCAGGATGATGAACGTCTTTGCTAATAAAAGGTTGATCACATTTCGAGACGATACAATCGTCACAGTAGGTTATAACTAGATCCAGTTTGCGATTATTAATATTCGTTATCGAGTTGTACTATTGAGATTCAGTTGCTTGCATAAAGTTGAGGATGTACTGAAATTTGGTATCATTAAAGTCTATATCATATTTAGGGATATTGAAGTCACCAATTAGTAGAAAATTTCCATTAGTAACACAATCAGAGCTCTCCAGAAAATCGAATAATGTTTCATAGTTAATATTGGAGCAACAAGGGGGTATATAAACTACAATAATATTTAAAGTAAAGCTGCCAAGTACTAATTTGGAGCCTACAATATCAACTTCAGGGAGTGTGTCTCTTAGATCCAAAAACGGAATTGGTAGCAACCTATAATTATCTTTGGACGCCAACAGGACACCACCTCCTTTAGTAATATTATTGGTTACCAGATCTCGATTACATCGGAATACATCATACATTGACATCATTTGACATATTGAAACATTCAATCATGATATTGAATAAACTTGGGCGTTGCATAAATTATAAAGCATTGAAACACCTTGATACTGAACAACGTCAATGGGGAAGCAAACTGTCAATTTGTTGTACATAAAGGGCGCTAAGTGTTTGTCATCAAAAGATACATTGTTTATATGGGAACATTTGTGATTTTTCGTTTTCATTCAGAGAAATGGGTCGTTGTGCTTCTTTCGGGTGCAAAGAAATGGGAGTTTATAAGTTTCCTGAAGGTACTGTTATGAGAAGAAAATGGGAAAAATCTTTGAGGATAGTAAAGTTCAAATGTACTGATCATTCTAGGTTTTGTTGTGAACATTTCAAAGATTCTGCTTTTGAGACTACTTCAAAAACAACTGGTAAGTAGCATTCATTCTACTTACTTATATGTGATATTAATTTTATAAAATTTTATAGGGTTTTCACCCCAAAGAAATTTTTTTGAAAAATCAGCTGTACCTTCCATACTTCGCTGTACTTCGAATTCTGTCACTCCACGGATGTTGAGATTAGAAAAACAGGAATGCTAAACGTGATTTGAAGCCAGCTAGTAGTGAATCATCTGAATTTTTCGAAGATAAAGATACCAGCTTCCTCTCAATGGTAAGTATCCAATAAATAAATTTATTATATTGACTGCTCAACCACCACTGTATTCCATTTGATTTTCAGATATAAATTATCTAGACCTCCAACAAGAAATTGCCTAAGAAGTTACTTTCCACCCCGAGGAAGGTAATCCTGATAAGGAAAGCCACCTAATCGGCCAGTCCACACAAACACCAACTTTATTCAGATTATTTTCCAATGATGAATTTCTAATGAACAAAAATTTGTTCTTTATTATACAGGTCTCTCTTGAGGGATATTCTCGAAATTAAAATGTCTATCATAAGCCTCTAATCTGAAAACAAAATTGAACCTTAAAACTTGCAAAATAGATCATCTGCAGACCGCGGTTTCGAGGTATTACCTCTCGTCAGTACAGGAATTCTACCCAGACAGCAAAGTATCTCGGACTCGATCAATTTCAACACGGCTCCGCTACATATATGAAACCTTCATCTGAGAGAAAGATTGTTAACTAGTAACAACTCCATCTCGTAAACAAAGCCCCGTAAAGGGAAGAAACATCCCCTATATCAAAACTCTAATAGAAACCAAAAGTGAAAACTGTTGTATGTATCTCTCCTCGTTAGTTTTAACTTTTTACTTATTGTATATATTCTTTGCTACGTGAATATTGAAGTCGGTGGGTTTTCATGAGCAGTTTAACAAAATTTGACTCCAATACTTTCAAAAAATGATCCCAGAATTTCTGTATGGTATGTCAAAAGATGGCATTTATATTGAGAATTGCAGCAATATTTCACCCAACTATCATTTGAGGTATTGGAGTTCCAGCGATTACCCTTTTCATCAGTTCGGATTTCGATTGTCTAACAACGCATTTAGTCAAGCTAGCGTAGAGATACATAACATATGGAAACCTCAAATAAAGCAAAAAACGACCAACTCCCGCCAAACGGTCATCTCCCGCTAAAACCAATGTAGCAGAAAGAGAGAAGAGGGAATGTACTATAAATAGTCAGATGTCCAGTTATCACCCGAAGACGATTGTGGATACTAATATCATGACGTAACTTGATTTGAAATCCTTTAATTAATCAATTTATGTTATGTTACACAATGGAAGTCTGAACTGATGAAATACACCACGAAACATTGTCAACCACCTTCAAACAGCGATTACCCTATTTTAGCGGTCACCCGGTATAATATTTATTTGGTAATTTTTCTATTTCCAATTTAATTTACAGTAAAAAGAACCAGATGGACAAGTCCAGAAAAAAAAGAATCTTTTCGAATTTTTGGAAAGGAACTGAGGACCAATACATTACCATCCACAGCCTTTTGTCAAGAAATACTTGGAACACAATAGTGTTTTTCATAAGAGAACACCAGAAATGTTGAGAGCGTTCATCAATAACACGAATAAGAAGAAGAAAAATACTGGTTGATTTTATTAAAGATTTTATTAAAGCACTTTTTCATTATTTCTATTTTACCTATCCCAATATTTTCTCATTAATCGATAGTGTATACCATATATAAGGATATTTATTATGATGATATAAAAAATAATGTTGGTTGAACTATAAAAAAATTGTAAATTCCCATTGAACTATATAGCTATTCATGATATGAGTGTTAAAAGTAAG